CACGGTCAAAATCAATTATTTATGCTAAGGATGTTTTTGATCGTTATCGGTTTTAGGGGAAATCTTATCGATTATCAATTTTTTGTTCAACCAAATGCTTTTGGCATTCGCATTTACATTGTAGACGCATAAAGCGGAGCTATCTACTCGCTGAAATCAGAAGCAGTAGATGACGAACGTCTTCACAGCTCGCGTGTCAGCGGACAAAAGCATTGCGATTTCGAATGGATTTAGGAAATTTTAGGTACCTATTTTTAATCAAGAAATAACAGCAGATTAAAAAAATATACAAAAATCGTATCATATACTAAAGCCACCCACTAGGGTACTATCAATAAAATTTTCATTCGACATACAACAGGTACTACAAAAATGTCAAGAATAATAATAAATATCATAATACAATATTATATACAGCTTATCGGTTTTAAAGAAGACCTTATCGGTTTCCAATACATCCTCACCCTAAGCCATTCACATCGACCTCTCCTAACTAAAATAGTCTATACTTATTTTAACCCCACCTCAAATAAATTAAATATAAAATCATATCGACGGCCTTACCGAAAACCCTTCGTATAACAAAAAAATACCACACAATTCTACCTAAGTGTTCAAATCCAATTTTTTATTAAAATATCAATAACATATAATTTCATTTATTATAGTTGTTTAATAATATAATTCCAAGAAAATTTCGAATCAATATATTAAAATCGATTAATATTCCATCCGAATATAAATTCCATTATAAAAAAGATATTATTTCTAAAAGATTAATTTTATAATTTTAATAATGAATTTATTGATTATATAATTTATATATAATTCAATTTTATTGATTTTATTATGTTCTTGGATCAATTATTCAGAGTAATGTATGGTATGTCTGGCATCGAAGCCTTCCCAGAATTGAGTATAAGGACACCATATATCATATGGGATGTCTTTTCATTATTTAATATGTCTTTTATGCCTTGATTTTGTTTGTTCCTTATAGAACGTCTTTCTCCCTGGTTTATTGTCCCAAATGTACAATGGATCTTGAGAATTAGTGTGTTACGTAAAGTAGCGCCAAGAAATAGCAGATTCTTGAGCCTCTGCAGCCTCTGCGTCCACCACATTGGCACCTCTGGCAGTCGCAGGTGATTGGAACGATGAGTTGACCACAAGTTTGCAAATGTTGCGCATGTGATGTTGCCGCCAGCAACACATGCCAAAAGCAAGTGGCAGGGAGGTGAGCTCCAACAAAATTTGACGACAGTTTCAGTGAACTCCCACATCGCCAAGAAAGCAAACAGCATATCTGCGGATTGCGATTTGACATGAAAAGCCAAATGGACTGCTAGGATTGGAAAAACACGTCGTTTAATACTCGGTTTTGCGACACTGAGTGACTCGACTCGCACGAGTCAAAACTGCATCACCTCACTCTTGGTGGGATTGAAGTTGTTGTGTCATAAATTGTAAAACTTAACTCACAAACATGTGAACCACTTGGTGATGTGCCTTAACATGTCTCAACTCACGACATCTATACTCTCTGATGGCGCCTGCCGCCGTGTCAGCAAGTGCAGGTGCCTTGTTTGCCAGAGATGTGAGGGATGATCAAAATTGACTGCCTCCCCAAAGGACATTGGATGTTCTGGTGAGCAACCAGGTTTGGGGTCGCGTCCGTTCACCAACCACATGGGTCTTTGGATCAGCCAGTGCTGTCCAGTGCTGTTGCCAATTCTCTCCGCATCAGCCGCATCATGGTCGGCCTCCCAGAGTCCAGCTCGAGCCTCGCCCATGCGAGAGCCTGGACATCACTCAGCACGAGTGTTCGCTTCAGATGGTTTTGGTTTGGGAAGCTGGAAGGCAGAGAGGCCAGGCAAATATAAGGCATTGCCATAGATTCCTTGCACAATCCACCAAGGCATGCCTAAAGGTCGCAAAGGAGTTTCCAAAAACCAGTGCTGCGGAATGGCCAATGCGACCAGCACTGGTCCAGCCTTGACTACCTTGGCGACGGGGGCCACGCATCTCTGAACCTCGGCTTTTGAGAGGATGAAAGCTATCGCATCTGCACGAAAGCTATTGAAGGTTATGGACCCTTTTATATGATCTGGTACATCTATCTATCTCTGCACATATATATATATATGAAACACACGGACTGGCAGTTCAAGTGCTGAATACATTGTGTTGGCCATGTATGTCGCTGTCAAATGCTGTCAGTCCATTCAATTTTCTTCGAACCAACGCATGCCCAAGCACCATCAGTCTCGCCCCTTGACCCTTAATTGCAGTATTTTAGGGCAAGACCAACCCAACAAAAGCAACTCCAAACAAAGGACACAAGCAAAACATGGCATTGCAACCGTTGCTGTACGCAACGATGGATCCGGAATGCCAGGCTGAGAATCAGGCGCCAAAGCTTCATCAAGCCGGACTTATCTGAGGCAAAGGCACCAAATGATGTGAGAGGGAGTGCAACTTGATAAGCTTACGGTGCGATATTCAGAAGGCGCCGAAAAGACACTACATTCACCTTTGTGAACTTCCAAAAATGTATGAAAGGGCATGACCGAGCTTCAAATAACCTCGTGATTTCAGACTCATGTCAGTCCCGTATTCTGCCAGTGAAGTCATAGCTTGTGTGCAGGTCAGTGCCTGTTGTAGGTCTGAGACCATACAAAAGAAGCGTGTAGACGACCAGCAGCAATGCCTCACGAAACCAGGTGCACTTCGTTGCTGCACATGCTTTACATGCTCCGCCAAGGCTAGCTTAGAGGAAAATCTTCAGAAAGGGATGCAAATTGCATGGGTCTTTGACATACCAAAATTCGGTGTGACAAGCCAAAAAAAGGACATTGCAATCTGATTTCAATAAGAGGTGCCACTTTCATCCACTTTCAGCCTCGCCAATGCCCAGCAGCAACCAATCTGTGCTCTCATCTATCACGGTCAGGCGCAACCACGCTAAAATCTGAGCAGAGCTGAGCAATTATATCTTCTCCAATCGAATTTGGAAGGAGAACAGCATAAAGTAAATTGCATTTATATGAGGGGAATCCGCATCCTTGAGAACAAGTTGATGGCTGTGCATTGTGGGTCAAAATGCTTTCGCGTCAAACTTCCCTGCTGACATGTCGACATTTCTGGGTATTCTAGTTGCCTCTCTTTGTTTTATGGCAAAGGTCAGTGATCTAGGGCTTCTGGCAGAATGATTGCTGAGATTGCATATGTGCTGCTGATGGTTGTTTGCTCAGCAATGCAGACTGACCACATGTCCATCTGAGACCCGTGCGCTAGGTCGCAAAAGCATCAAGTAGAAGGCAAACCGGAAGCGAAAGTAGGCCTGTACCGCAAGCGAAAGTAGGCTTTGAAGCGTGAACTGAACCGAACCGGAAGAGAATCAAGGTGGTGTGACTTTGACAGCAACAAGTCATGCAACTGTCATGGACAATTGCATCGATGCCTGTTGTTTCCGGTACATGAGGATCGTCGTTGGTGAGAAATGGCTCTCCTGGCTCAAACCCAGCTGCAACTACTAGTAGCTTAGCTACAAATCACATGTTCAATCTGTTGACCAAGCTGTCTACAGCACTCACTGCTATTATTTGGTCCCCTAGGATATGCTTTTTGTTGACCCCATTTGGATTCCTTTGTTGCTGGCAGAATATCTGGGAAGAGTATATTCTGACTTTTGACACTCTCACATATGATTGCTCTGTTGATTGAGACTACAGTGAAGCTTCTGCATCTTCTGCCATGTTGGCAGGTTCACACTAATTAGTAAACTTGATGCACGCAAACAAAATTCTGGAGATGTTTGATATTAAACAAATCCTATCCTGGACAAGCACGGCCAAGTGCGCACATAAGTGCACACGTCCTGTCTGAGCAACCAAAAAAAACATGTATACCTACCAGGCAAGTTCACTTTGAGTGTCGGTGCACGTCATTGGAGAAAGCCCTCTGAGTCCCCACACGTACAAACCCATGGCCTCAGCACTGAGGCAAAATCGGACCTGTCAAAGGAGTCCTACCTGCTGCTGGTCTACATGTATGGTGGTTCCCAGCTACTGGCACGGTTTTGGGGGCTCCTAGATCCACTTGGCAAACATAATGAAGTGCTGAGGTTCTCCCGTTGTTGATAGAACATATGAGGGGGAACCTGGAGGAGATGGCGTATAGGATAATTTGTTAACGGATGTGTGTCCCTGCGGGACGCGCTGTTTTTGGACTATCAAACCAGGTAATTACTAATGATGCAATCACATTTTAGCAAGCAGGATAAACCTTCTATTCTGGAGTGAGCCTTGTCCAAACGGCCGACAACTTACTGCTCTCTGCGCGAAGGGATGAAGGTTCAAACTGAGCTGGGTAAATGATTCTTTGGCACTGCAGTGCAGTCACCCAAAGTTCAAGTACTTCCTTCCATTGGCAATGCTTTCCTTTTGATGACTCGACTCTACGAGCTAAGCTCAGATTCACATGCACCAGTTGAGACACTCTCAATTGACAGTCTCCCTAGCCAAAGATCCTCTCAATGAACTCGAACGTTCTCAACAAGATTCATCTCCGCGTCAGAACAATAGATTCATTCAATAGAAAGGCGGGATTCAAGTTCCAGTCGAAACCATATACAGTATTATACAGTGATTTTGTACGGAGCAGCCAAGGTTTGCTGGCAGAGGTGCTCTTCAAGAATCTCTGATGACAAATTCTCGTTGTCCTTGCTAAGGAGCTGGCCAGGATCTGCAAGTTTTGATTCACAGTCAAAATCACGCTGAGGTAAATGATCATCTGCGCAGCAAATCGCAGCTATTGAGAGTCTCGCATATCTATTCTCCTTTAAGGACTGAAGTAGATTCTCTGATTGCTGCTGTCAAAGGAGGAGTTCAGCTGGTATGTACCTATCCAGCATGTGTGACGAATGCATCTAAGCTTTGTGTTTGACTTTGACGCTCCGGTGATGAACAGTGCTGATTGGAAGGCGCATTTTGTTTCGTTTATCTTTTCAAGCTAGTATCTTGCCCGCGAGTCTTTGGCGGATCAGAGTACCTTCAGAAGCAGGTAAGAGGTAGTCAAGAATCTGGAGTCAAAGGGAGATGCCATAAAGCTTCAAAGCATGTATTACTGCATGTATTGACAACTACAGCCAGATCCAAAAAGGTCCTAGTCGACTTCATTTGTCATGAAAGTTGACAGTGCCACTACCACCAAAAAACCCAACAATACATTAAACTCTCACCTTCTCCTTTGCGGTTTGCAAATCAAGAAACACTGTTGTGCTATAAAAAGAAATGCAAAAGCCGAAACATGGCAGCTCAAGGCACTACCCAAATGGACGCAGTCAATACAGTCTCCAAACTTTCAACGCAAAAGCTGCCAACGCTCTTCGGTCAAAGCTGCCAACGCACGGTACCTCTCATGGTTTTGGAGGAACTCGCCGGCTGTGATGCCTGGGAGTTTGAACTTGCCGAACTCCTGGTGATGGGGTAGACTTAGCCGGCCTATGGCCAAGGTAATGCGTTTTGATGTTCACCAAAACAGCAATGTGTCTGCATACTTTTGGACAACATTTGGGAGACGGTCACTGAGTCATTCACTCTCATCCACAAACCCAATGAGAGCTGTCCAGCTTCTATTGGCAAGCCAAACAGTTGGACCAGACTTGCCTTCGTGATTGCCACTCTCGGCAAGCAAAGGCTGAAGAAGGGTCTCTCGGTTTACCAAGCCAAAGTACCTGCGAAACACAGGCGAGCAGAGTTCATTCCTTCAGGCCCCAGAGTTCATCTGGGCCGTTCTGCCTTGCAGTGTTTGCAGTGTTCCACTCAAAGCAAAACATATTCAATCAGAACCAAGCTCTATATATGAAAAACATGATCTATATATATAGTTATATATATATATTGGTTCCTTTATTGAAGCAAGGTGCACACGATCAATCAAGCTTCTAAAGATGCTGCTGTGTTTGGGGCACCGGCACTCATTCGGCCCACCCAAATCCCTTGCCCAAAATCTGTGATTTGGACCACCGAAATGTCTGAGACTGCAAAAGCTATGAACGCAGGTCGCACGGACACGACAGGCGTTCGCCGGCACTGTCTGGCCTGCGACAGGATGTAACAAAGCAGTCTAACCACGACCAAAGGCGTCATGGTACGGAAAGCCAGTGTCCTTCTCTTAGACCAAGAGTTACGACACTTAGCCATTGAAGGTTATCATCCCAGTGATTGGTTCCTTCCGAAAACTGCTCACCCTCTAAGCTGCACCCAGCCAGCCTGGCAAGGACACGATGAGGGGTAGCCAACCACTTTCCACCAGTCCACCACTGGAGAAGTTCACCTCAGGTATTGATATGTTTGCAAAGGGCACATGTCAGACAGGTGGACCCAATAGTGTGATCTGTCATTGGTGGACGCCTCGTTCATCAAGAACTCTACCGTTCGTAAACTACGGTATTTTGATAATGCTTTATATAGTTGGGACAGGCAAATGAACAAAGAAACTGCTGCCAAGACACCGAGGTTTACCACCAAAGCATGCCGCTGCGGTTGGATTGATGTCCAGCCACCATCCTATTTGAGGACACTGACCGACTAGAAAACATCTAATAGTGCCCTACAAATCATCTCTGTCTCAAGTACACACATATCCAATAGAGGCGCTTTAGATTCACAGCCACAGCTCCGAGCAGCCCAAGCATCTTCTTCAGCTCCAACAAGAAGAAACACCCCCGCTTGAAAGGTGGAACAAACAATAAAAACCAACAAACATGAATGATTAATTTCATGGGATGAATACATCATAGAAAACGCCAATGGGAACTCCTTGTCGCAAATTTCAAGTCCTGAGACTTCCGGATCTGCGAGCAAGACCTGGGACAGTGCTTACCGGCACGAGTGTGGAACATGCTCTGCCACAAAAACTAAGCTTCCTGGCAGTGACACAACCCCAATCAGTATGCTCCGGCCTGAGCCAAGTCATGTGCTTCACAAAATCAAGGGTGCATCATCCATGACGTGCTTGCTCCGGTTGCGATGTGCTGATTTGTTGTTTTCGCCGGCACGGTTGAAACAAAGGGAACAAACAAGCGGGCACCATTTTAATCCTTTTCAGTAATCAATCAGGTCTGTGGTTTCGCTGTAGACTTTGTTGGTCTCTTCGTCGGGTCGAAAGGCCAACATCTCAGATCATGGCGAACGGATCACTTCGCTTGTTTGCTCGAAGTCGGCCTAGCCGAAGCTGCAGCCCCGCGTTTGTTGATTTCCATTGATTTCTATGTCTTCACTCATTTCTATTTATTATATAGACCCCCAAATAAATAGAAAAGAACATCCCCACCTAAAAATGTTTGGACACAGTTTCTACCTATATATTCGGGGACCACTATATACAGTGATGATAACAATGTTATACTCACACCTTTGAAGTCCAGCATTTCTTTAGCAGGGACAATCAGTGATGCTCTGCCGTTTCTCTTGTGTGAATCAGTCTAAGTCTATCGTACAGTATAGTTGTTTTCATCATCAACAGTCTTTCATTCCCAAGATAGAACATATTGCAAAATGTGCTGGTTGCCGATCTTGCGTTGAGGTGCACAAAAGGATACAAAAGGGAACATATCTGCTTGGTGGACAGTGGTGTACAAGCAGCGGTTCGCACCTAAAAGGGAGGCCTGAAAACAAGCAGTGGAGAAGTGTGGGTAGATTTGTGGGGACTTCAAGAGAAGCCCATGCATCGGAGTTGTGCCATGGTCCTAAGATTTAAAGCTCACCAAGAATTCCCAATCACTGACTTATCTCTAACGCTCCATATTAATTAAACACCTTCAGGTCCACTGGCCCACATTTCTGTTGTGTTTTAGACTTCAGAGTTTCAACTTTGAATCTAAACATATCGTGCACTTCCTCCAAGGATCGTTGCTTAAGCTGCCGGCGTCATTAGTGAACCCAGCGTGTTTGACAATGTTTTGACATGGGCGGGGGTGGGGGCAGGGGGGGCAATTGCAACGTGTCTCGACCTTTGAGGTTGTTTGGGCATAATTGGGCTTGACAGGATGCGCGAGCTCACAGCTCGTGAAGTTCTTTCGTTCTGTCCGGTGGTTCTATTGCGGCTGGTTAGGACAGCTTCCGCTTGTCGCCAACTGGAATTTTGTTTCTTGGTTGACATTGACTATGTCGACTACTTGATATGTTTGGCGAACCAGAACCACTGGGCCGCTTGAGCGTTACGCGGGACACAGTTCTAGACCCAGATTGTTGGACTTTGTGCTTTGGGGTTTTGCTAGATTGTCATGTGATGTTGAAGTCCACATGGGAAAAAGCGTTTGCAGATTTGTTCCATAGAAAATCATAGAAAGTCTGCTCCACACGGCGTGATACCCACGCTCTTCGTCTTTGCGAATCGCTTCGCAAGCACGGAAAACATCGCACACGTGGAAGCAACAGCAGAAAGAATGCCTGGTATGAGTTTTGTTTTGGATGAACTCCACAAATGCTTCTCTGTCCTGAGGAATTAAGCATGATTCCAGGGATGCATCCAGATCGAGATCGAGATCGCGGACACCTTCACGTATCCCTCAGACTGCAGAGTATGATCGCATGAGTGGGGCCCTTTGCCAAAACAATTGTATGCATCGTTTTGTATGATGACATAACATTCTGACTCGCTAACATGGGGAGTTCACTTCCTGATCTTCCTGTTCGTTAAGGAAAGTACGAGTAGCCTTCCTTTCGGGGCCATGCCATCCACGCAACCATGTGATGGTGTCCGGGGCGCGCTAAGCACGGACCCGATTCCCGGACTCGTCGGCGAAGAGGACCTCTCCCCATTTTTGGAAGGCAAGCCCCTTGGTTTAAGTCCTCTGCGAAGGTAAAACAGCATACAGCAAAAACGTGACACGTAGTTTTTCCAACAAAGCCAACACATCCACATTATTCCACATTGTGCTTGAAATTCCAGGGTCCTCAACAACGCAGGCACCTTATTTAAGCACACTTGTATCTGAGTCTTTCACCTATTCATGTCCCTTCGTGGTTTACATCTATATATATATTGTTCAAACTATTGTTCAAAAGCTCCATCGGTACAATCAAGGTCTTCTATCAACATACATTTGTTCAACCGCATTCCCGCCGTCCCCTATATGATTTTGTTCCAGTGTTTGAGGTTGCTTTTGTTCAGTTTCACTCCATGGAATCAAAGTGCAGTTGGTATCGCATGTTAGGCGATCCGTCTACTCACTCTCGGAAATTGTCAACGTTTGGTTGCTTTGGGCTCAATTAAATCTTCATATTGGATCATCTTGGTCTCCACTTGCTTGAGGATTATTTACTGTCCCGGATCTTGCCCCATAGACATGGTCGAAAGATCTAAAGATTGCAGGTCCAGCCGCGCCATGAGCAGGCGTGACCTCCAAGTTCTGCCATGACACGTTTGGTACAAATCAGTCATGCAGAAGCTGAAAGGCTTCTCTTGTGGCATGTCCGTGAAACAGGAACATCACAAACTATACAACAATTGTACGAACTGATATGGACACAAGAATCCTAGAACGTCTTATTCCGTCTTATTCCCTCAATGTCTTGTACCATAGGTGACCAGTAACCAACATGCACCCTCGTCACGAAACAATCTAACACCAGCCTCAGCCAGCTCAGGGTACAGAATAGCTCGCATGGAAGACCGATGATTCTTCAATGCGCTGTCAAACGTTGTCGCCTCGCAGAGCAAGAATTCACAAAGTCAAAACGCGAATACTTGTCACTTGTCACTCTCATAATGCTTTTTTCGCCAGGTTCTTGAGTCCTTGACTGGCAAATGCATCGCCACTGCAAAGAGGCTCATCAAGCGGGCAACGAGTTTTTCGACCTCGGCCTCCATACAGCGATGGGTAGGCGGTCACATCAATCCTAATGGTCCTTTATCACATTCTTTGTCACAGCTTTTCAACTGCAGTGATTTGCTGCCTCGGCCTGCCCTTGCACAGGAACTATATATATATATGCACTTACAGGATGATTTAAGTTTAGCTTGTGTTCCCTAACTTGTGGGTCAATCCGTGCAAAACTTAAAAATATCTTTTCTTTGTTCCCCAAACAGTATGGTCACACTCGGGGTTCTTACGGTAGTAGTTAAGGCAGGGTGTTTGATCGGCGGTGCTCATCGGGGCGTTTGGCTATGTTGCTGCTATTTATGCTAGAGTCGTGCCTCTCAAAAACTTTGGTTTGCATTTTCGACTGCGCAGTCTCACAGAAACTGGTTGTCTCGTGGCTGGTGCAGTAAATCGTGACCTTTGGACATGTGGTTCTTTTTTTGGAAACGCTTTGGCATGGCTGTGCGATGTGAATCTTGATGTGCAAATATCGTATGTAGCAGGCGCGGCATTTTGTGAACCTCGAAGTACAAATCTCCTGGGAGGCGCAACATTTTGTGAATCCCGAAGGCACGAAATGTGCTCTCACACGTCTGCTCGTGACGTGCGTCACTAACTATACGGGTGAAGCCGTGCCCCCCCCCCATTCAGGACACGTGACGTGTGCTCTCTTGTATATGTGCTCATCTGTGTGCTCTCATGCACGTGCTCTCATATGTCCGCTCTTACACGCTCTCTCATCTAAACATTTCTGTAATCCTTTCAGATGCCTCTGGATGTTCAAGACCTCTACTCTAGACCTCTCAATTTGTAGGCGACCTCTGGGTTTTGTAACTCTAGGCCTTTTGCCCTAGAGACCTTTAGAACTCTAGGCCTCTAGATCTTTCTGGATCTCAAGAGCCCTAGACTCCTACAGCTCTAGACCTCTCAAGTTCTAGATCTCTAGACCTTGAAACCTCCAGGCTTTTGGGCCTCTAGACCTAGAGCTGTTGACATGTCAGGATTGGTCCAGGCCCTCACGAGCTCCAGGCCTCTAGACCTCTTGATCTCTCTGGATGTAAGATCTCTCTAGATCTCTAGCCATTGAAAATTCTTAAAAACTCTCTAGACCTCTATATAGTCTATATATATATATAGGTCTCTCTGGATCTCAAGACCTCTCTGAATCTCAAGACCTCTAGATCTCTAGACCTCTATCGCTAGACTAGACCTTCTGCTTCTACACCTCTAGACCTTGGACCTCTAGACCTCAATGGCAACACTGTTTAGGGTCTCTTGCCGGGATATTTTCTTGAGTCTGAAAGCGTGGACTTTCAACGAGAGATGAACGGGAGGCTCTTGGGATATCTTTTGACGCATATGATTGTGTATCTTCCAGAAACCAATGCTGCGTGCACGAGGCAATATGAGCCAACCAAAATTCAGCAGCTGGAGAATCCCAAACTGCTTTGACATCGTTCACGCTTAAGAGGCGGGCAGAACGCGCTTTTCAAGGATTCAGCTCGTTTCAGCCAAATCCCTGTCCAAGGCTGCTCTTTATATTGCTGGCGGCTATTTTGGAAGGTCCTTACATCATATCTGGACTTGCCGGTATTTGTCATAAGTATTGTACAGTCGTGTGCGGCGCGGAATGGTCATTCAAAATAACCTCCTCTCGTCAACTCCACTGTTACCGCCAAAATGCAACATACTTTTTCGCGTGGGCCCTGGGCTGGTTTACAGGTTCTGATGTTTGGACTCGGACCAATGTGTCTGAAAGCTTTGAAGATTCCTTCGAGCCCCCAGGCAACTCAAAAGGTCTGCCTACGGCGTACAGGTGTTTCGCGGAGTCTCACCTGCTCATAGTCGAATTGATCAATATACTACGAATGAGTAGAAGGGTACTGTACCAATGCTCGCAAAAGAGCTGAATTTTGACCGCGGTCCAAAACACCTCCTTTCACACAGAATCCAAGGCAACATTTTAAACGAAACTCCTGCGAGGTCCCAAAAGACTAGCTGCAAAATAGGGCTAAGCACTGAACATAGTAGGCAGTCCACACCGTCGCAAATTCCTGTCAAACGATTGCATGGATTCAGAAAGTCGTGCAGGTGCAGTTGCAAGAAGTCCAGGCGTAGTGAGAAGCTTGGCCCTGCATTGAATACTTGTCTTTGACCCGATGTGCTTTGAGTTCTTCAACTAGGCCCTAGGCTCTCCCGCCCTCAGGCGGGGGGAGCTTCCTTGAAGAAGCTCAGGTAGGTAGTAGCTGCTTAAGCTTAATAACAATGGCCTTCAACCTAATAGCGATGGCCTCCACCCTAGTAGCGATGCTTACCAGACGCCAGCTCCTTACCCCGTACTCCTGGCTACTTGTTGGCTCCCCTTACCGCCTAACCCCAAAGAACTACTACTAGCTACACTAGCTACTCGTTTTCCTCCTCTTGCTACGGCCTACCTCCAACAAAAATGCAATACCAGTTACTACGTATACACATGAAGTTATACATTGTGCGAAACTCCAAAAATATAACGAAAACAAACAAAAAAATGCGTGAAAGCTGTCTGTGCCGTCTGTGCCTCTTGATCCAGTTGCCAAGGCATGCTGCCCCGTCCATGCACCGGGCCAAGGGACCAGGCCTGGACAAGCTGAAAACCGTCCATCGTTACATGAAACATCGCACGAGCTGAGCACAGGCCCAAGCAGGTCCATCATCACATGGCACCTCAAGTGCGGCCATGGTCTTCACATGTCTTCACTGGAAGAAACGAGGCTCCTGCATGGTCCAGCCACAGAAAGCGGCTATCAGTGCTGCTAACCATCCCCAGCCTGGAAGTTTCGTGCTGAACATGCTGTTTCTCCCCGCAAAAGTCAACAGGCTAGCATGACACGTTGGATTGCGGCGGTCGCTTGAAGAAGGCCGTGCACTCTTTGCGCAAGCCTGGGCAAGGTCAGTCAACATCTGGATAAATCACAAGAATGGAAGAGTTGGTTGCAAATGACACCAACTTGAGACAAGCCAGTCTTCCTGTCCAACGTCTGAAGACTGAATGCGGGCACATTATGCTGTACCACCAATGACAAAGATGAGCTTTTAGAGTTCTTAAGATATGAATTCCTCGTACTGTGATTGCCATTGATTACGACATTGAAAGATCTTGCGAGACTCAATCGTCAGCCCCAGCCCAAGAATGAATACTTGGGAGATTTTGACGGACATGCGTGACATTGCACGAATTTCACCTACGGGATGGAGGAACTGCTAATAAGCTAATATTGGTCGACTTTCTCCAGCGGAGCGCCAAATGTCTCAACCCGATTTTGGCCCATTGCATCATGGCCATTCAATCTGAAAGTAGACCAAAAATAGTTCGAACCCACGTTACCACAAAGAATGCTTGACATGCTGTCCAGCCACACCGAGCAAACATGTGCACATCAGTAGGCAAAACATGGCAAAACTAAAACTGGATTGACACGTAACAGCTGGATTAAGTGCACGGCTCTCCATCAGAGCATCACAAATCCCATGGTCGGTCAGAACAAAAAAGCCAACCTTGTTGAGCGGGATGGCTTGCAATCCGCCAACTTCATTGTTCTCTTTCATATTGCTATGTCTATGTTTGCACTCAAGACCAGCAAATGCAACCTATGTTGAAGTTGGACTTGACAACTGTCAGCTTGCTGGAAGAGCCTTCCCGATACTCTAGCTATCTTGCATCAACTCATTGCCTGAAGGCCTGAACAGCCAATTCAAGAGTCTACAGCTGTGAGCTGATAAAAGAGATTAAAAGAGATCTTCGCCACCAAATGCGCACTCGCAGGCTCGCCGTGGCTTGCCTCTTCACAAGCGTTCCGAAGTTCCTCGGCGAGTTCTCGCACGCAGCTCTTGCTCCACAAGTCCTCCAACTTTCCCCGAAAGAGCTGAGTGTGCAACGGAACATGCCAAAACCAGGTGGCCGACGATTTGGATTTGCAGGCGACAGAGCAGCGACGTAACTCTCACCGGCAATCTGCCCTCAAGGTTGCTGTCTGCCTCTGCCTTGCCCAGGGGCTTGATGTCACTCAGCAAAGATGTGCGCACACGAGCAAGCTATCCACCAGCATTCCACAAAATGTCAGGGAGAAGGTGTCATTGACTCAAGGACCGATGTGGAAGTACAGGTGGAAGATGGGTGGCACCTGACCTGGTGGTAGGTTGGGGTGGACAGGTCTGGGTCAAGGCCTTGGACTGTCCAAATGGTGAGTTTGCTGATAATGGCTTGGGTGGTCAGGAAGCTTGGCTTTCCTCCAGGCAGGTGGTGAGTTAGCTTGTCAAGTGGTGAAATAGCCAAGTATAGCAGAGCATAGAGTCAACTACAGTAGGTGTTGAGCTGGCGAAATGACGAGAGTGTCAAACATTTATCTACAACTAAATGTACAGAAAGCTTGTGCTACTGAAGTGGTGATGTAGGATGGTACCTTTTCTATCGAATCATGCAACTCTTTAGTGCTGAGTTGCGGCCAACTTATCACCTTGACTAGGTGCTATCTCACTGCTCAGTTGAGTATCTCAACAAAAAGCTTTTCACGGCTTCGACGCTTGTCCAATTCGGCCAACTCTCTATGGCAAAGCTTTGATCAAATAACACCGGGCAACTCACATACTCGCTAACTGCCGACCAGCTGGCCAGTTCACCGCCAACTCCCCACTTAGGTTGAATGAGCGTCTGCCAAAACGTACTGTCAATCAAAGGACGTGATTCAGCAAGGTTATCGCTTTGAGGTGGGCCTATCGCTTTTGCAGGTTTTAGCCACAATGTCAACATAGCTGAACATATCCAAAAACTGCGGAAATATGGTGATCGCTTTTGAGGGGGGCCCATCCCTTTTGCAGGTTTTTGCCCAATTCCTGAGATTCACGACGGCTCTTTACTATATAAATTAGTCATTGCACGTTTTGGTGGTTGCTCAAATGTTCTTGGTCTTGAGCTAGCGAAGTGGACAGTTGGCTGACGTCGGCTGGCGCTAAGGTGATGAAGGGAGATCAATGTCGATGCTCTAGATTTGATTCGTAAGTTTTTTGTCATGTTTTGCGTTCGTTTGAGACTTTTGCAAGATCCCCGCCGGTCCTTAGCCTGAGACAAGCCTCACGTGTTCTCAGTATGCAAATGCTTCAGGGCATCCATCACCACAACAGGACCACGTGATGATGCAACGATTGCACAAAATTGCACACAGACCACAAATCCAAAAAACGTGCAAAGCAACACTGTTGCCCTTGCACTATGCGACACAGGAATCACAAGTGGGAGTACTTACGCAAATCTTTATGCGCTTTGCACGCGCTTGCGATCTGTCTTGCGAGCGTGATGTACGCATCCCATTCTCGAGCGACCTGGTGACTCGCCCATGCGCATACACACAGACACACTAGACATTACAAGCCTCAAGTCAGCAACAATATGGTTCATCCACAGGAACCACAATGGAAGCAAACCAGAAACTTAGACAGCGCGTTCCAGCTCAAGCAGGTACGTTTCCACGAATCTTGATGAGCGTCCTTGATGGCGAGGGACTCATCAGGATTCCCTGCGCCCACTGCAAACTAGTAACAATGTTCGCTACTAGGGGCTCCTGGGAGCAAAGACGCTATTAGGGGCTCCTGGCCCTACTACTAGGTGAAAAACTTCCCAAGATACCTATGTCACTGCAGGGTGTACAAATACACTTAGATGGTTGCTCGCAAGAGCTAGGATCAGTATGAAGTCCCACTTTAGACGATTACATTACCCGATGCATTGTAGACCTTGATTGCAAACGGAAAGGTGGAGGAGTCCGCTTCAACTGTATTGTTTAACAAGGGTGAGACGGAGAAAGTTGAAAAATGCAGGTACGTGAGTCAGGCGTCCCTGACTCATATCACGAGAAACGTGCAGCGTCTTCGTTGGTCGTTGACTGCACGAATCCCCAGCGACCCCTGCCTCTTTTTGACTCGCGCTGTTTTTGGTTTTCGTTTGGTTCCTAGTCCTAGTAGTAAGGCCAGAAGCAACTAGTAGCACCCAGCCCTCTATAGTGGAATCTACGGCAGACTTACCAGGTACAAACCTTGGAAACAGGTGTTAACACACACACACACACACAGTGCCGCAATCGGCTCTCTGTATCCCTTACGTGAAACGAAAATGGCGCAACAGTTTCGTACACATAGCGCCAATATTGGCGCTTTGGAGAGTTACTAGCCACCTAAAAAGCCTTAGAAAGACAGAAAAAGAAAACAAAACAAAAGCACACGAAGAGGGCAAGAAAGAAAGATAGGTGTAGTGACGAGGCCCACTTAGTCAAATGAAAGTAGTTAGCGAGCGGGACTTTTGTCTTAAACCGCCCGGGTAGCTAGGAGTCGGACAGGCACTTTAGACGATTACATTACCCGATGCATTGTAGACCTTGACTTGCAAACGGAAAGGTGGAGGAGTCCGCTTCAACTGTATTGTTTAACAAGGGTGAGACGGAGAAAGTTGAAAAATGTAGGTACGTGAGTCAGGCGTCCCTGACTCATATCACGAGAAACGTGCAGCGTCTTCGTTGGTCGTTGACTGCACGAATCCCCAGCGACCCCCTGCCTCTTTTTGACTCGCGCTGTTTTTGTTTTTCGTTTGGTTCCTAGTAGTAAGGCCAGAGCAATTAGTAGCACCCAGCCCTCTAGTGGAATCTACGGCAGACTGACCAGGTACAAACCTTGGAAACGGGCGTTAACACAAACACACACACACACCATCACACACCCGCACGCCCTCCCTAGGAGGCGGATAACTGAGATAAATAACATTATATAGATGACCGTCCACATCGGATGCGCCGGGACACAAGAACTGCCTGATTAGATCATATATACTACCTGTCACTTCAGTGACCATCAGTGAGATCTGAATGGAGGGTCTGATTGGAGGATCTGAACAGGTATCAGTGCCACTTCTTAACTTCACCTTTACCACAGTGTCTGCAATAGAACCGTTTGCCATCTCCGTTCAGGAGCTCAACTAGCCATTTGCACCGCTCTTGCTGCTATACACATCACAGCGTGTGATTTACTATGCAGCCACCAAAATCGTACCGTTTCAATGATTGGAAAAAACACACTCCATGGTAGTACAAAGAACTGTTCTGGGCTCTATGAGCAAAGCGGAAGCCATGTGAAGCCGCCAAACCTTGTAGAAGCTTTTCAGGCTGATCTCTGGAACCTTAGCTCCAGAGGGCAGCGTGGCTGTCGAAGCCGCCAAAGGCAGCGTGGCTCTGACGGCAGGAGATCACTCGGATCCATGTCGGCTGGGGAACTTGTGACGTGGCACTACTCTCCAACAGGGCTTGTCAGCCCCTCCAAAAAAATATCCAAAACATTTGCAGAAACCACTAAGAGCAGTTGTGAGGAACACTCATCATACTCATCTGAAGATCTCTCGAATCCACAGTGTGGATGGATTTGCATGGAATTCCGGTCTCATGCTGGCAAGCTGCCTTCATGTCGGCATGGGCCGGCTGAAGAGCGTCTAAAGAACATGTGGAAGCTTGTCTTAGCCCCACCATACCCTGCGTTTCACCCATGTCATTTAGCAGCTAGCTGTGGACAGGTTGTCTCTCCTAGCATTAGGCAAGTAGCTGAATTCTGTGTGTCAGGTATGCCTGAATATGTCACACATTTGAGGCCCATCCTTGCTAGATTGTCTTTTGTCATAATGCTCATTATATAGCCTCTTGACAGCTATGTGCATGCACTGGCAACGTGATCGAGCTTGGTTGTCAGCGTCATCTCATGTTTGTCAACAAGGCCCTTTCATACATCCGTTGGTAGACAATCTGGTGACGAATGACTCAAGATCAGCTACTCTGCAAGGCAAAGACAATTAGAACCAAAGGTTAGTCCGATTTGGCTACAGATTAGTCTGATTGGACCGCCAATGATCATCGACAAAACGAATTCAATCTGCGCAGGTCAGGTGGCGACTGGTCGCACCTGAGTGATGGCAAAAATGCTTCTGAGCCCAGTCCTTGGTGCGGTGTGGCGACCACTGCGACCACAACTCACGATGCATCGAATTCCTCGTGTTTTGGGACGTTTTTTGAGCCGGAGCACGCCGTTTGCACAGATGGAGATGTCAGCTGAGCCTAGCAGAACTCGGCTTGTAGCATTTGGCAAAAAATGCCGTGGAGTGCTTCCACTTTGATGCAGCATGGCTAAGGGTCACTTCGACTCAGAAACCGTGGCGCCTGAGCGAGTGCGGTCCTCGGAGACAGCAAGCCGAAGAGAACGAAGACATAGTTGCTACTTGAAGAGCAAGAAGAGAATAAGTAGCAACATATGTTCCAGTCATGTCCAAGAAACGTTTGATTGGAGAAATCATGAGAAATCTGTATGTACATAACCGTTGTAACACTTCAAAAAGCCTGACAGTGCAAGGTCGCACGTGAGCGAAGGCGACCTGTCGCATGTTTCGACCATTCGTGTGTTCGCTCACCTATATAATCCTATATATATATTGATGGGCTAACCTCTGTGGCTCGACCAATGAAATCATTCTCGGCTGCCGTGCAGAATACCCATGGCAAACAAAGATCCGATGCACTTCCTGCCGAAATTCAACCACATTTCTCAATCACATTCAACCCACATAGAATCTGCCAGAACTTTATGCCCTGTGAAATAGACACATGGTCACCTGGTGCTTTTAGCGCTCTTTCATTGCTTCAGTTGTTCATCTGCTTTGAAGGAGAAGTGGGACAACATGACATGTTAGTAACAGCAAAAGCCTCGCTCAGTCGTGGGCTTTCAAGCAGGCCAGGGGCAGTAGACTGGGCAATCCCTACAAGTATGTTATTGCCTTCATGCCCAAAAACAGATCCAAACAGAAGCATGTTACCAACAGATCAAAACAGCAACCCATTCCACCCAATTCGCCGTGGGCGGAATCTGCCTTTCTTATTTTATGGACTTATTGATGGTGCCCTGAGCAGCCCGACTTCTCCACATCGTTGAGCCTCGATCTTAGGATCCGCCAGCCTGGCGCAGAGCACTTTCTTTTCAAGATCCGGTTTCATCCTTTTCGTTTCATCTACAACAGTCCATAACGACTCCCTCTGGATCGGCACTCCCGCGCAAAAACATTAAAAACAAAACACCCCAGTTGCCTGTCACATCTTTCAGAATTTAATTTCTGCGCAACATCTGTTAGAAGAGCTGATCAGCTCCAACAGCTTCAGCATGCAACTTTTTTCACCGGCAGGCAATGTCTCTCAGTGTTCATCGCCTGGAGCCATGTAATTTTTCGCAACTGAGGTTCCGAAACAAATTGGAACTGGTAACATGTCATCGACATCAAAGTTCAAGCACTTAAAGTTCAAGCACTTGCATTATTCCGCACTTGCTGCGTGTCAGCACAAAGCGTGTCTGAAACTCAGATCCGCAAACATCCAACTATAAGCTCTCCACCCGTGCGAAGCCGCTTGGCCTGGGCTCGTCAGGTCCATATGGTCCATCAGTCCCGGAAAGCCTGTGGATGATCGGAGTGCCTGCTCCGTTCACGACCAGTTTTCCGTGCCCTACTAGTAGCAAGGACGCTAGTAGGTTGGAGGCCATCGCTATTAGTATTTAGGGCATCGCTGTTAGTAGCAAGAACGCTCCAAGTAGCTAAGTGCATCGCTACTAGGAACAAGGACGCTACTAGGGGCTCCTGGCCTTACTACTAGGAGCAAGGACGCTACTAGTAACACGACGCGCCACGACGTCTTCGCCCAACGGCCCAACGGCCCAACGGCACCACCCACCGACCGGTCGCCTCAGGTCCCTCAGGTTCGTCCTGGAGATGCAAACATATTGTAGCTTCTTGCTCCCTAGTAGCACGGCCAGAAACCCCTAGTAGCGCCCTTGCTCCTAGTAGCAAGGCCAGGAGCCCCTAG